GCTCGCGGAAGGGGGGGGAGTAGGTTCGGCCGGACTGATGATGGTTTCCTTCCCTTTTATAGTGAGACGGGAGAGGAGCGGAAGGGAGGCTGGAAATCAGCTGAGACCGGAGCTGTCAGACGGTGGACGGTCATAACAAATGAAAACTATAAATAAACGTGGCATCTGGTGACAAACCGCTGTGCGTGTGTGTACGTGTGTGAAGTGCATTTCACACCCACTGATCTCCTCAATCTGTACACTCCTTGCCGAGCGTTAAGATCATCAGGTGAATTACTCATGGCCCAACCTAAGTTTAGGCTGAAGACCAGAGGCGATCGTGCCTTTGCTTCAGCTGCACCTAACCTTTGGAATAGCCTCCCCGCTTCTATTTGTGCCTCAGACTCCATCCAATCCTTCAAATCAAGACTGAAAGCTTACTTATTTAACCTGGCTTTCCCGACCAGTTTATACCCTTATTCCATCTAATCTTATTAATTTTACTGCTGTTTTTTAACTTCTTAGTTGATATTTTGTATCCATGAACTGACCTTTCTTCTGAATTGAGGTTCAATACCTATTTTACTTAATTCTTCTGGTCTATTAGTGTCACGGTTGGAGATAGAGTGGACCCAGGCACGGAGCTCTGAATGCAAAGCAGTGTGTTTATTTACACTGAAAAAAGGTTGACAATAGTTCAATGTGCAAAACAGTGGTTAGTCATGTCCTCCTTCCCGTGCTCTGACTGTGCGTGGTAGCGAATATCCGTTCCTCCTCCAGGTGTCTCCTTGTGCTCGTGAATCTCCTCCATCCCTGTTCCTAGCTGCACACAGAACAGCGAACAGTTAATCACTTAATTGAGCTGACAACACTTTGCAACCCGAACGGTTTGTGGATACTACCAGGCTTAGTGCAATACTCCAGTGCTGTCTGTCGCTCAGCCACACCATTAAATAGTCCTGCCTAAGATGGCGGATGATTAACAGCAACTGGTGGATGAATCAGTCGCAGGTGAAGCGCCTCAGAGCAGCAGCGCTTCTGGGTCGGAGGTCCCTCGTTGCCCTGCGACATCCATAAACAATCACCACGGAGCTGGAGAGAAACAGAGCAAAGGAGAGGAAAACATGCACACATAAACACAGGCAGGTCGACCGGTCGGGGGACCGGCTGACCCTGACAGTTAGTGCCTCCCTTCTGTCTGTGCTAGTGCTAGTGCCCTATCTGTACTGTGTTAATTGATTTATGTTGATTTTCTGTTTTATTGTGAAGCACTTTGGTGTGCCTTTGGGTTTTTAAATGTGCTATATAAATAAAACTGTATTGCATTTTATTGTAAAACCACTGAACCCTAAACTCAAATATCTAATCAAATACAAAAGATTTTTTTAATTAAAGAAAATACACATTCTCCCCTTCAGCAGGAAGTGGTGGTGAGGTCCAGTTATATGAAGCAAGTAAAGAAACAAAGGTTAGTCAAAAATCAAACAAAGTAATGAACTGGTGTGAATACATAAGTAAACTAAAAATGTGCACTTACAAATAGAACAAATGTATCAAAACCAATCAATAAACCTATTGGAAACTAAAGTGTATTACTGTGTTCAAATGAAAAAACAAAACAAAACAAAAAACCCCCATAAGAGTTACCCACTTTAGAGTGTGTTTGGCCATCACAGTCGCTGAAACATGTCCTGGGGGAATTTTCAGCATTCACTTTGCTTTTACTTTGTTACATTGTTACTTTGTTACATTGTTACTTTGTTACTTTGTTACACTGAAGCTGTTTTTAAATGCAGCCTCGGTGCTGACTGAGTCATAAAAAGACTTTATAAAGAATTAGTCACTGATCATTGATAATAGAAGTTTATTGAAGGTGTATCTATCCCATAATACAACAGAATTCAGAAATACATGCTTTAAAAAGAAAGAGTTTTAAAAAAGTAAAACCACATGAATTCTAAAATATATTTGAAAATTTGTAAAACATGAAGGCATCAAAAGCACCTGAGAAGCTAACACAGCTCTGTGTTTGCAGCAGCAGACAGGGTCAATAGCAGAGAATAGAAAATGTGTGAGTTACTCAGTTTGCCCTGAAAAGTTTTTATATTTATGTATTAACACCAGAAACATCGTTTATAAAGAGCAGCTAACTAAACGTCTCTTTATCCTGGTGCAGCCTCTCAGTCCTACAGTAACTGTCCTCATATACGTTATTATAAAGAACAAATACAAACATAATAATAATCTGAAGTTAAACCAGATAGAGCATTAAAAATGTAGCCAAACAAAAATATGTTTAACATTGACACAAAAACACACTCGTACATGTTGTACACACAAAGAGAACGGGATTCATTCTTTGACTACTGTTAAAAAGTTATTTTCTCTGCAAAAATAAGTGCACCTGCAAATTTACTATCAGATTATGAAGTGTGCACGTTAATCATTTTTATGTATGTAATTGTTATGTGGCTTTAATTTGAACATGTTAACATAATACAACAACAAAGGAAACAATTAATTGTAATTAAAAACTTAACATGTTCAAAAAGGAGAAGGAAAAAGTGTAAGCTTGTTTAATCATCACCTTTCTCTTCCTGTTGTTGTCGTATGCTTTTTAAATTCTTCCTTACAACTTGTTACCCTTATTTGGTTTTATAACCCCAGTAACACACCAACAGATAAACATTGCACACATACACACACACACACACATACACACACACAGTGTGTAAATAGTGGGTGAGAACACCTGGTCAAAGCCCCGCCTCCTCCCTGTACTGCTTTCATACACAAAGATATCATTCAACACAACTTGTTTATGTTACAGTCAGGAGTTAGAACATGACACTTAGACATAAATTTAAAATGACACCAGGTGTTTTAAAATATAATTCAGCAGTCTCGTCAAAGGTACACTGGAACATAAGTCACCACATTAATAAAGTAATATAATTGTTTTGGGGTTTTTTTGCCATCTTTAGTCTAATTTTGGACCGTCGGGTGTCTGTGAGCTGTTACTTTGATGACGTCTCACTCATCATTTCTTGTTCCATAGTTTTGTTCTCTGCTGTTTACGAGCAGAGGTTCATTACTGCCCTGAAAAAGAACATAAAGTCCCCGTTACACATTTCACGTCTCACCCTCCAGATCACATAAATACAATCACCAAAACAAAGAGCTCGTGAGACACTGAGCTCATTTCTCAGTGCCCTGCAGTCAGCTAAACAAAATTTAAATATCGGACATTTATCACAGATTTAATAAAAGTAACAGACACTTTGTTCCTTCACTAAAACATGTAAGTAATGAATGCCTGGTTAGCATGTTTAATTTAACAAAGAACAGAGAAAGTTCATATCAAATCTAACCACAAAAGAAGCTCCAACAAGGTAACCTGAAAAGGCAGAAATGCAGACTCTTAGAGAACATTGATACCATAAACAACACAGGTGTCTGCTAGGCTTCACCCTAGCTAACTGGAGCCCCTGAACTGGACCTCTGGACCGTGTTTGTGCCTTTTTAATACAATTATCTGACCAATAACATGGCTGCTGTGAGGTTACTGTACTAACAGACCATCCAACAAATCTGAGCTCCACTTCTTATATTGTATGGTTTTATTTGTCACTGAGCACTAATTAGTAGCTACGTGTGTCTGTTTGATTCTTGCATACAGTCTAGTGCTAGCTGATAACTTAGCACTCCACCCTCTCAAAGAATAGCAGTGAGTAGCAGTATAATCTTTTATATACACTTGATGGTGAGAACCCAAATACTGAACATGCCCTCAAAGTCCATGTGACACATCAAAGAACAGTCCTGCATTTGGACAGTGAATCCACAGCAAGTGGACACCATGTATTGTTCTTATTCTAAACCAGAATATTTGCTGGACTGAGATTTAATCTGAAGAAGTTTATTTTTGTGTAAGAAAGGGCAACCGTGGAAAATATACCAACCCGATTTTCCTGAAATTGTAAAGTTCATGTGTGAATAAAAATGAAATGATTTAAATTATTAATGTAAACAAGTTTATGATGTAAAACAGAGGAGGATACCTGGGGGTCTGGGTTTTTCTGAATGATCCCTTTTTGTCTGTCTTGCATCTCTAGTGTAGTGTTACTATCTAGATAAGAAATCAAGAACAAATGTGTGTAAAAATAACAGGAAATTTTATCAGCAAAAGATATTTACAAAAATGTGATGAACAGCAAAGATGTGGATTCACATACTTCCTAAATTTCTGTTTCTTTGTATATACCACAGAGCACCAATAATCAGTAGGAGGAGAAGAAACGCTGCAAATATCCCAATAATCTTTGCCAACCTTTGCCAACCACCTGTAAACAAATTCAATATTAGTTTTACTCTTAGTTCTTTCTTTAAGGTGTTAACGATACAGATACGAGCAAAACTAGTTGTTCAGATTAATAAAGTTCAGTTTTAAACTGAAATGATTTTCATGTCGTTCACAAACTCAGTAACATAACAACCGGCAACCTGTTTCTCATGAAGTCACAAGATGAAGGCACAACAAAAATCTATCACTGAGCCCTGCATGTGTGCAAAAGTTGGGAAGAACATACATTTAATAATAAAAATCAATAAATAATTTTATACTTTTGGACATTTGATCATTCAAATCAGCTTCAAATGGATGTTTAATCACCTGCGATGGACCACTGGTTTAAATATGCCATATAAATGAACTGACATGACAATTTGAATGGATCTTCTGTGACACGCCCACTCTGGATGCTTCTGTATCGATGAATAAGTGCAGAGTGCACTGAAGGCATCCAACAAAAGTAAATATGTTCATGACAATCAAACATTGTTAGTTTGACAAAGTGAAAATATTTAAATAACTTTCGTCCTCAGTCACAGTATAGTAAAAACAGGATGCAACCGCCTGATAGGAATAAAAAAACATCAGGTCACCCTCTGACTGCACTGACATTTTTTGCCTTTGGTAAACTGATTGAAAGGAGCTGCAGCACTGTCAACATCTCACCATCGAACTCAGAGTGACTGTCACTGTCTCAGACAGGTCACAGGAGATTTGACAGTCGCTGCTGGTCTGCTTTACAGATCAGTCTGCACAGATGAGTAATGCTGCAATTGCATTACTCCCTCACTCACAAGTTTGCTGCTTTTGTTAAATGGACCGGTCCTTACACAGCACCTTCCCACTCAAAGTGTTTTCTACTACAATTCACACACACACACACACACACACACACACACACACACACACACACACACACACACACACACACACACAGTACCTGTGTCATGAGCTGAACACCACAGTCTGGAGTTGAGGGCAGCAGTCTTGTTACTGACAGGGTTTTCTGCCTCGCAGGTGTAGATGGATTCATTGTGCCTCTGGATCTCCAGAGTCAGGGTTAGGTTGATGGAGACATCTGGGTCACTAGTTTGCATTATAATCTCACTTCCTCTTCCACTTCCTTCCTCGTACCATGACAGGGTGACATTTAATGAATTCTCTACCCAGCATCTTGCAGAGCAGATCCCACTGGTCTTTGCTGTAATGTCGGTCTGGGCTTCAGTGATGTGTGGAACAGAAACAGGATCTAAGAAGGAAAGTGCTGCTGTTGAATTGTACCTGAACATTCACATGATTAGATTACATGTGTGACGTCAGCATTTAAAACAGGTTTTACAGGTTCAACAACAAGAGTCACTGTTAAAGTGGTATAACTGCAAAACACAAGATCTCTAGTTTTCCAACTACTTTCCAGTTCTAAGAAACTCTTCCCAAGAAAAAGGTCTTCAACATGCTAAAACCATCGTACCCTGGTCCGACCCCCTGCCCTCGCTGACCACAGCTTCCATATTTTAACCCCTTTTAAAGGAAACCAACCTGATCTTATATACTTGCTGATCTTACACTTTGTTTAAAGGCTAAACATGCTTTTCTGTGAGGGACATCTAATCTGTATTCTTATTTCAACATTCAAAAGATGTAACACACACTTTTATAAACAGCCTTTGAGCATCTACTGGTGTCTGTGATGCTCCAGGATTACAGCATGAATTAAGGGTGATACTTTCATAGCTGTTTTTTTCTTCAGATCACTGAAATATCCATAAATAAGGGTCTTTTATCTCTATGCATCCCATCTTTGACTATGTGTTAAGTTTTGAGATCTCTGCAGTAGCCTGTATCTGCATTAAAACTATGCTTCTCAGTACTGACACAAAGAACATTTACTCACCATAGACAGTGATGAAAAATGTTTCAATTCTGTCCAGGAACCCATCTATCAGTATCCTGACACAGTAACTCCCAGCAAGGTTTTTGGTTATGCCGATGAAGGTGAGCTCTCCACTGTGCGGGTTCAGCTGCAGATGCCCTTCAAAGCTTTCATTAATATTAGTCGTATTATTCTCAAACCGAACTATGGTCTCTCCATCACAGCGTTTACCCTGCATCCATCTGATTTTCTGGTTTTGCAGTTGCACGTTTACTTTAGGGTCCAGAGTGACATCGTTCCCCTCAAGAACATTAACACAAATAACCGGATTATCTGGAAGTCAAAGAAATCACAAAAATGCACAAAGAAAATTGTTGTTTCACTATTATTTTAGAATTTTCAAACTATACAGACATAGATAGATAGATCAAACTCTGTCTGTGAAGCTGGATTTAAGAAATAAGACCTTAAGGTCAAAGTTTTAAAATGTGCTTGGCACCATCTTCTGGACGTGATGTCATGTGGTTGGTTGGTTGCGGCTAATAGACTTTTAGACTTAAGGACAACCCTTTCCTTTTCTACTGCACATGGGACCCCTTTTTGGCCTATCTGGACACTCCTTCCGCTCAGAGGTTGAGATTGGGTTTGTGGGATTTGGCCTGGCAACAAAAGGACGATTGTTAAACTTTTTCACTGTTTATTATTGTTGCTATTTTTTATTTTTATCTTCTTTTTTTTTGACTACCATGACCTCCATATAGCTAGGTACATCTCTGTCCTGTGTAGGTATATGTTCATGACTGCTGAATCCACTTTAAGAAAATAGAGCCTTTTTTTTAAATGTCCTTCTTTTTCTCTGCTCATGTTCTACATAAATGATTCAAGCTGAGTACTTTTACTAGATTTAAAATTTAGACTGAAATAAAGTTTGTATTCCCATCTACTTATATTGTTTATTATTACAGTAATATAGCGCAAGGCTCAGTTAGCTTTATGTAGCTGTTCTTCAAATAACTAATTTTTACTTTGAGTGCATTTCAGAGCCATTTTGACTTTTACTTGAGTAATTATTTATTTGAGAATTTGAATCAGCTTTTACTCTAGTATTTTTCAACACTAGTGTCTGTACTTTTGCCTCCTCTGGTTGACCGTAGAATATTTTAGCCAACATCCACAAGACCCAGAACCTCCCTGGCACTCCCATAAGTGTATAAATAAATGTATAAAGCTGTGGAGTTACACAATAGAAACAAGTCAAATTAATTTAGTTTTGAAGTGGAAAGTATTAAATCTGCACTTAGTTCCTGTTCATGAAAAAACTGTTTCATTGACTCAAAAAGGAGAAATTGTATCTGGGTAAGGGTAAAACTCAGTAAATAGATAATTCAGTTTGCACTACTTTGTCTACTTAATTCACTTGAACACGTCAACATTTGGCTTTGCAATATATTCATATTTACACATCCAGAAGATAGTGAGTAATTTTAATGTTTTACTTTTCTGGTGAATGTCTGCTTGCATTTTTTCTAGCTCTACTTTGGTCTCCACTAACTTTGCTATCAGTGTATGTTTCCAAGCTACACTAAGACTTTGATATTCTGAACAAAACCCTACAGTCCTCCTCAAAGAACAGAACAAACATACCTGTGCCATGAGCTGGACACCACAGTGTGGAGTTGAGGGCAGCTGTCTCACTACTGACAGGGTTTTCTGCCCTGCAGGTGTAGATGGCTTCATTCTGCCTCTGGATTGTCAGAGTCAGGGTTAGATGGATGGAGATGTCTGGGTTCTTGGTCTGGTTTATCTCCTCCTCTCCTCTGTACCAGGACAGTGTGACATTGGGTGAATTTTTCACTGAACATCTGACAAAGCAGATCTCATCAGTAACCGGCTGTCTGCCTGTGTCAGCTTGAGCTGCAGTGATGTTTGGTACCAAAACAGGATCTGCATGGAAGAAAAGTGTTCTTGTTGAGTTTGTGTTAACTCTGATATAGAGGAGGAGACGTGACATCTGAACAATCCTGATTAAGAAGCCCGTCATGGGAGACATGTCATCAAGGATACTGTTGTGCTGTTATATGCACAAGATACAGTTTACAGCTGTAAACTCTTTTTTGACTTTTTCTTGACTTGCTGTATCCAAAAGGTTAATTAGTGTAGTACACATATTCAGAGTAATGTCGTGTATCTTCGCATAATAGGAGAAGAAACTTCTTAATTTTTATTTTAGAGTCAGTCACCAAACTGAAAGCTGTTTTTTAAATCAGTTTTAACTCAGTTCTGTTATCTCTTGCAGGCCAATGACTGACAGCAAGAGATAATTTGTCACAGCTAGTAGGCCAAGCCGGGTGAAATAAAGGACCCAAGATGTGGGCGGCTTCTGATGCGAGAGAGCTTTATTAAACCAGTAGTGAAACAAACAGAAATGTAACGGGCAAGGAACAAAACCTAAGGACAACCCAAAACTGGGGAAAACTAACAAAACACAGAACTGAAACCTGAAACGGAGATGCAGGGAGACGACACAGAACGATGCAGGAAAAAACACAGACGAACCAGCAACACGCAGGAGAAAACACACAAAGGGGCAATCAGGGAATGAGAAAACAGGAGGGGGACACAGCTGGGATTAATTGGACATAACAGAAAAGGGGAAGCGAAACTAGAAACACTGACAAGAGACACGGACCTTCAAAATAAAACAGGAAACACACCGACTGAACTCTAAACACGCCAACTTAACACAGACTGGGGAGACAGAACATAGGAACCTGAAATGTGGAACAGGAGGGCACAGAGAACACAAAACACTAGGGATAATCACAAACAAACCAAAGTAAACAAAACCACAGAATATTAATAAACTTAAACATAAACACAGAGTCCCCAGACTCCGACCATGACATAATTAGTGTATAATGATGAAATACAGGAATCTGAAAAAGCGCATTAACTGAAGCTTCAGGATGAGAACACATTACTTGTCTTGTGTTTGCTGGTGTCAGCATAAGGCTGCAATAATAGTTTGGCATCTGGGAGATGATACAAAATTTATTTTGATGGTTTTCACTGAGGCTTCAAGTTACCAAAAATATCTAATTGTTTACCACAGTATGGTAATATGTTGGTTTGCGTGGCTTTATTTTTGCATGTGTTAAAATAATACAACAACAACAAAGAAAACAAACAATCAAAACAAAACAAATAATTCTAATTAATAAAATGTTCAGAAGGAGTAGGAAGAATCTTTAGCTTATTTATCCCACGCCTTTCATGTTGCTCTATTGCATTATTCTGTTTTTCCAATAAAAACACAAGCAAGTTCCTCCATTATGAGAGACAAAAGTAAGCTTTTAGGGCACCTACCATAGACGCCAAGAAAATATCTTCTCAGTATGAATGGCTTCTTGTACAGCTTTATCTTGACACAGTAGCCTGCAGCAAGGCTTTTGGTTATACCAATAAAGGTCAGAGCTCCATTCAGTGGGTTCAGCTGCAGAAGATCCTTGAAGTTGTCATTAATAGTGATTACATTATTCTCGCAATAAGCTATCTCCTTTCCATCACAATATTGACCTTCAATCCATCTGACTTGATGGTCTTCCATTTGTTCCTTTAGTCCAGGATTCAGCGTGACATTGTTCCCCTCCAGAACATAAACATGAACACCCCTGCAGTCTGGATTTTTAAAAAGAAATCACAGAAAATGTATAAATATTATATTTTTATTAATTTAAGAAAATTCAAGGTAAGTGACAAAATGTATAACACATACCTAGGACAGCGAGGTCAAATATTTGTTTTAGTAATCCTGTTGCTGTCAGGAACTGAGCTGAGAATATTCTCCTATCATTAATAGTGAGGTTTGAGATGGTAATTGATCGAATTTCTGCATCTGTGCTTAGCCTGTTTGTAAATTTGCCTCCATTACAAAGGTGGGAAGTAACAAAGTACTCAAGCAGTTTTTTTATTCTTGAGTAGTTTTTTTTCTGACTACTTTGTACTTTTACTCCCTACATTTTAAACAAATATCTGTACTTTATACTTTAATTTTCAAAACAGGCTCGTTCCTTTAGGTTTAACGCATTATTATTTTGTCACTGCGAGCCTCTAAAAACTCAAATCAATTTGAACCTAAAAGAAACACAGGAAAGACAGTCCTCTTTGTTTATTAATTTTTTTTCTGTTTGTTTTCGACACAACACTGGAACGACTGCAAGTGTCCGTAAGTTGCTCCGAAGAGGAGCGAGCATAATTGGAGTAACGTTTTTTAAGTGTCAGGTAATTTGAAATGCAGCAACAAACATCACAAACACACAAACTGTTTGTGTGCAGTTTGTCTCACAGTGTGTTGCAGCTAAAGGTCCAGCTGCTGTATTTGATAGGGAAAGAAAAGAAAGAGAGCTAACTTCACTCAGAGATGGAGAAATATAAGAAAGACAGGACAGGAGATGAAGGAGAGAGGTTTGATTCAAAGAGAAGGATGCTCATTTAAAGCTCACATGTAAGTCCTCATGTTTTTAAATCACATATTGGGTCTGTATATGCGACATTATGTTTTTTCCATTTTGTGAAACATGCTGCTAATCAAACTGAGGCAGACTAACTGTGTTATTTAAAAAATGCAGGACAAACAGGTTAGTTTGCTGCACTGAGATGGGTTTAAAGTAAAGAACAGTGACTGAATGGTGCACAGTGGCTGTGGTTTCATGGTCACAGCTAGCTTACATCAAGTGTAGCAGAGATTCATTCCCTGAATTCCACCTTCAACTTTATACCATGTAGAAAACAGCCAGCATAAACAGTGTAGTGTCAGTGCAGAGGATGAAATCAGCCAGGACAACTCAAGAAACTTCTGCTCACATCTGGTTGAATTCAGCTGTGTACATCCACAAAGAGCAGCAAGTCAGCTGATCACAGCCGGTACACTAAGAAAATCTACTGGAGCTGTCAGTAGAAATTATCATATAGCTTGGGAGTCACTGCACCTAGTGCTCCGATTACCACTA